AATCAATGGACAAGACAGTGAAACCGCATGAACTGAGATATCTCATGATGCTCATCATAGCTACGTACCACCTACATTAACAAGAGATGTTAGTTTGGGTAAAAAATTGCCAAGGGAAATCTTACACAGCTGTAACTCAGTGGTTTAAGGAGGTGACTATCAACTATTAGGTCACGGGTTCGAGCCTCACTCCCTCTACAGAGGTTTGGGTAGCCACGTAATATCACCAGCCCTCACAAAACGTGTGGCTCATTTTCTACCGCACAGATGTAAACCACGCGGCTGAATGCGTTCGTTTCTTTGTTGTCGCTATCTCTTGTAATACAAATAATAGAACGTGTGGCTTTTTCCTTTATCTCTAGCAATCAATCAATCATTATCAACATAGGACCAGGCAATACTGAGTAACGGTCCAAGTTGCCACACCTCACGTCAGTTCATCAAGTAGAAAGGTAGTGAGGTGAAGGATGAAGATAAGTGAATGCAGTCAAAAGAAATATAAAGTACGAGAAGAAAGGAAAGAGGAGTGACAAAATGGTGAGATTCGGTATAGCGTTGTTAAGATGAGGATAATGTGTGTATACATCTGCGCCACTGACTTCGGTTCTGAGCCATATCACCTAGGGTCTCCAACCACTGGTTCCTCTTGTCCCGTGGACCCCAACCACCTAGTCTGCATCGTCCTACATGGCTTAAACCAACAGTCAGAGACTTCATACATTGGTGCCATGTTTTAGTCTGGCCACCTCGGGCCTTTTTCCAGCCTGAACCCACCTCAGCCAACATTGTGTGACGAGGCAATCGGTGACTAGGCATACGTAGTACGTGTCCCAACCATCTCAGTCGATGAAGGTTCACAACCTCGTCAACTGACTTACCTCTTCTCCCTAAAACTCTACACCTAACTTCTGCATTACTCACATGGTGACACCACGGAATACGTCCTATACTACGAAGGCAACGGTGGTCAAACACTTGAAGCCTTTTTATATCTTCCACTTTCAATGGCCATGTTTCACAGCCATACAGTAGAACAGAGCGGACTGCTGTGCAGTACACGCGACCCTTAATAGACAAACGAATATCACGGCGGCGCCATAGGTGGCGCAAATTGGCAAAAGCCAATCGAGCCTTTTGTATCCGTGCAGAAATCTCATCGGCAACTAACCCACCGGGTTGATCCTACTTCCCAGGTAAGTGAAGTGGTCAACACACTCAACCACTTCACTCTCTATTGTTAACCGCGGTACCGCTGAAGACCAGTCCTGGAGCAAAAATTTGCATTTGGGTGGTGAAAATCGCATCCCAAACATTCTCAAATTCCCACTCAAAGTGTTCAGAAGACTCTGCATCTTGTCAGCGTCTTCACCTAACAGGACTATGTCATCTGCATATTCTAGATCTAAAGAAAATTCACCTGTGATTGGGTCAACGTCTTGTAATTAGGTGACGAGAGGGAAACCTCCATAAGAATATCTATGATAAAATTAAATAAGAATGGGGATAGTGGGCATCCTTGACGGACACCACTTGATGAGTATAGCTCCCTGGACAACTCACCATAGGCTCTAACATGCCCACAAGTGTTCGAGTAGAGAGCTTTCAATAAGGTGATGTACTTACTAGGCACGCCTTTCAGTGACAGACATTGCCATAAGACTTCTCGATCAACGGAGTCAAATGCCGCCTTCAGGTCGAGAAATACAGCTATTGTCGGGCGTCTGTAAGCATGCCTATGTTCCAGGACCTGGCGCAGTGTGAATATTTGGTCGATACATCCACGGCCAGGTCTAAAGCCTGCCTGGTTTTCTCGGGCTTGCTGTTCCCGAGCTCCACTCAGGCGTCGGAGAATTATAGAACTTAGGATCTTAGACACCACGTTTGTCAGGCTGATTCCTCTGTGGTTATCACAAGAGGACTTCTCGCCTTTCTTGAAGACTGGGATGATCAGTGACTTAGACCAGTCGGAGGGGATCGTATTTGATTCCCATATACTGGCTAACACTTCCGTTAACCTGACTAAGAGCACTCTACCACCATTCTTGTATACCTCAGCAGGTAGTCCGTCTGGTCCTGCTGCCCTTCTCCTTTCAGGCTACCTACCGCTTTCTCAACTTCTTCTAGTGTTGGGGGACCTGTCTCTATGTCCCATTCAGGGTCCGACTGGATAGCGGGCAGCGCAATCGTGGCTGGAGGCCAGTTAAACTGTTCCTCGAAGTGTTCTGCCCATCGTCCAGTCGTCTCCCCTGCGAGTGAATCGCAGATCCGTCCTTCTCCGCTATAGCCTCACTAACTGTTGTTGACCATTTCCCCCCAGTCTCCTTAATAAGTCTAAATAACTGTCTACTGTTACCGATCGCCGCTGCCTTTTCCATCTCTTTAGCCTTCGCTGCCCACCACTGTTCACGATCGTTGCGCAGACTTTTCGTCAGTCTATTTTTAAGTTGCGCTCGCTCTTCATTGTACTCAGAGCCTGCAGGGATGCATTCACGTGCATCCATTAGTTTGGAAGAAGCTGCTGATATCCACTGGCTCTTTTTAGCCATTATTTTGAGTCGGCTACAGTCTTCAGTGCTGCTTTTACAGCAGACTGAAGATGGCACCAAGCTTCTTCTGGATGAGTGACAGTCTTTTGTTCCGATAACTGCCTAGCCAACTTCTCACTGAACACGGCTTTGGTGTTTTCGTTGTCCAGCAGAACTCGTAGTGGTTTTGTTGCCAAATTTTTTCTACGTCCATTGAGACGCAGGCATATACGTGCTCGGACCAACGCATGATCGCTGTCCAAACACGTACTCCAGAAGGAGCGGCAGTCTTCCACCGATCCTCTCCAGCGATGACTAATAGCAATGTGGTCTATCTGTGTCCATCGCTGAGTCGAGCTCGGTGGACGCCAGGTCAGACAGTGCCTTTCTTTATGTCTGAAATTGTGCTGGCTAAAAATAGGCGGTTATCTGAGCATAGTTGTAATAGGCGATCACCGTTATCTGTACGTTCAGCTGGGATTCCGAAAGTGCCACCTAAGTGCCTTTCTGCCTCACTCAGTCTACCCACCTGTGCGTTGAGGTCACCTGCAACAACCACCACGTCCGAACGTTTGGCTTTCGAGGGGAGGTTAGACAGTTTATGTTAGAACTCGTCCTTCACTTCATCCGAACTGCAGTCAGTGGGTGCGTGAGCAGAGATTACAAAGAGACAACGGTGAGCTTCTCCATGTGAATTCCGTGGGTTCATCAGATTTGTCAGGAGAGGTCAGGTGAATAACTTCACTTAAGTCGTGTATATGTTTGTCTCACAAACACAGCACAGATCCATGGCCCGAGTTGCTAGAGTCTTTGCCAACGAAGTTTGTTGACTAATTTGATGGAGGGTGCGTAGATTGAAGGCTCCAATATGTAATTTGGAGCGTGGTTTAAGGAGACTAGTGATGCTGTTTTGTGGAGTCAGATCGTTGTCGAGGCATGGAGAGTTGGGAGAAATTAAAGATGATGTGGTATCGTTAGTTGAGAGACGTGAATGAAGATTAGCAGGTAATGATGGGGGAGGTGGGATAGCAGTCTGAGGAAACTTGAGTGGTGATGGAGTTGTGAGGGCGGTTGACACTTCCTGGCTGCCCACAATGTGGAGGGCTATTTCTTCTTAAGATACCTGAAAGAGATTTGTGTGATCACAGAGTACATCGGACATCTGCTTGAAGCCTGTCACACACAGCCTTTTGAGTATGATTATTGTGAACTTTTGTTGTTATATTGGGTCCGGATGGTGGGAAAAAACGACAAATGAACCAACAACGCCAGCCTGGGAGACCATGGGGGTATGGTGGAGTGTTATTTTTGGGGCCGACCTTTCCTAACCCCCTGGCTTCCACTGAGATGGCAGCATCATCATAGCACTGCTGGTCATCCAAGGGAAACACCTTACTGCTGTCACACCCTATTTACCTGGCTGCAGTACGACTTTGCCTTCAGACCCCCAACATAGTGTAGTAATTTACATCACAACGGTAACTGCTTTTCGTCTAACCACCATCCAACAGACCTTTCTGGTATGGTTGGACCTCGAGGGAAGAAGCGTTCCACCAGCATAGCTCGTTAGGTCATTGTGATATGCAAGCCGGACCACCACGTCAAAGTAGGAGCTATCGGTCGGGCTTTATCTCTAGCACCGATTGCCGTAAACTGCCTTACGGCTAATTAGATTATTTTTATCTCTATATTAAGTTTCACCTCGAAGTGTGAATGTGAAGGGAGACAAATTGGACCGTTACACAGTTTCTGTCTGTTTACTGACATTTTAGTGGAAGTCACTAGTTGAAGCAATTTATCGGTATTACGTAATCAAACCCAATAATGAGGATGGACTTAATCTTTACGGTAAACCTAAATACTACAAATCCTATTCTCTTAATTATGTATTCACTCCCTTTTTATGTCACATTCCAAGTTGTTTCACGATTGTTTCCTCTGTTCGGTGAAGACACACGACTAACTGAACTAGTGTAGTACTGAAACCAGTTCCACGGTATGCTGTTAGTCAGTTCACCAAAAAAGGAGCCTCAAGTGCGCAAAGGATTAACTTATAAATTAGTAGTGAAAATGATGCTTAAAACGAAGTTGAAAACTCTTACTAGGAGATCGACGAAGGTTTCACATCAAAATCAGGTAATGATTGTTGAACTGTGATTTCAAGTAAGCTTCCTCAATACAAATAATCAGTTATCATTTTGATATAACTAAATTTCAGAGCGATGAAATAAGCTATAGTGCCTATTCAGTTAGGAGGATAAATTACGTCTTCAGAATTATTGTACAACATATCTGAATTTGCTTAAATTAAGTTTTGTACATCCTGATTATGACACATTTGAATATTTCAGTCACGCCACTTATCACTAGCTACATTTTACCTATAGCTTGCACTGAATTATTTTGACTGATTGTTTTGAAAAACATGGCAAGAGATTACTCTTTAAAAAACCCAATACGTAATTCAATACTCACCATATGTGGTCAAAGTCAGCTGACGAAATTTTATACTGGGCTGTAAACAACTGCGTTACTTCCGAATGCGCTACCATTAAATGATGACTAAGAGCGGTAGTGGTAGAAGTAACAGTATCCTTAAAAATGAACAACTCATCAAACTGTAATGCATATTCAGCTTCTCGTTTTGACTGTAAAGCAAATGAACTCAACGATTTACGTTGTCGTTGCCTGCGTTTTTCACTATGATCAAAATAATTACCGTTATATTGTGAAAGTGGGAACGAAGAGCTGCGACTGTGTGATAACTTCCATTTGCTGATTTCATTTCTTTGTAAAGTATTCCTCGAAAATTGATTGTCATCTTCATGAACTGACTGATGAAAATCACTACTCTGTGAAGCTTCAATTCAAAAAAAAGACAAACATTGGTACATAATTATTTTCATGGGTCAATAACTATCATTATCATTACAGTTGAAAAAATTTCCATACAAATGATGTAAACAACTTTAACGTGTTGATGACAATAAATGTTAAGTTATACATGTTAGTAGTTTGTAAGGCAAGTAAGAAGAAAGATAATCACCTTTATCTGAACACCAGCTACCAGTCTAAAACACTGTCTTCCAGGTGGCTCACAATCAACATATAGGTTTGTGTGTGTTCATTATATTGGAATATGTCTGGTGGCACACATTAAAACAGTTGGTATGGAATTAGATCACGTTAATTAATCTCTGGATTTGAAGTTTCTAATACAAAATAGAAAAACTCTATGATAAAAAAATGGCATCTATTTTAATGGCTTTACTTTTACTTACGATGTATACACACCATACAGAGGAAGAAGATAATAGATGGGTCAGAAATAAATTGCTGGTATCCAGGCTACATGGTCTAAAATGTCTCACGATTCAAGCAAGCAACACATAAGGTGTTATTTTCATATATAAAGTAATGAATTAGGCTATTAGCATTTCCATATTTTAACGGTGGAATTGTTTTAAAACTACTTCATATACGTTATTTCAGGGAACAAAAAACATACTTAAGAGATATGCATAAAACTGAGCATTGACCCTATGGAAACAGTTGTAAAACATTACTCGAAAAACCAAACGGACTTTAGCTAGCTTTATCACCATGTTACATATTGAAAATGTAGTGCAATATAACTCAAATTTCACTCATTATACGACCTATAGTATCAATTTTGGACAAAACTTACAATGACGAGTAGAATCCACTCTGTGTTTATTTTTCTTGGTTGTATCCGAGGGACGAAAATCAGGTAGATCTTGATAACCCCAAATATTTGCATCGTGCAATTTCGTAGTTTTCTTAGTACGCTCAGCTGAATAATTCTGAAGATTTGTTGGGTGAGCAGATGAGTTAGAATCATGAGATGTAATAGTGCTGGAGGACTGAGACGATGAAAGGTGGCTAGCACCACGATGTGGTCTCTTAAAAAATGGGTCATCTACGGCGTGCCAGCTGGGATTACGTAAACTTCTTATCTCATTTTTAAAAGGAACATAAGTGTCATCTCGCTTTGTAAACTCTTCAGTTAAGAGTCCTGTAAAAGGAAGTGGAAGGATTTACAAAATAAAATTCATATACATGATAACTAAACACCGTAGAATAGTTATAATTAAGTAACTTCAAAGTTAAAATGAAAAGAACTATTGAGTTGAACGACACAGCTGAAATACATGGAGATGTACAAATGTTTTCTATCACAAAGAAAAAGTTGGTTCGGTGTAAGCACCGGGAAATGCGCCAATAACGCAATATGAAAACACTTCATGAACAAAGATGAAATTAGGAAAAGTGTGGTCAAAGAGTGAGCTCCATAAATCCATTTGTAAAACTTCCGTTGCTATACTTGGTCGAATTGCTCAACCTCAGTTGGCAGGTGCGCTCCTACGCGGCGACCTCGGTACGGTCCAGTAACCTACTGTGTTGTATTCTGCTTGGTGGATAGCAGGACGCGCGTTTCGTTCTACTTGGGACTTGTCATCTGGATGCAACTGCACTCCAGTAAATGCTGTTCCCATTGAAAAAGAAGTGGATCTTGTGGCCACCAAGAAGAGTACAGCACTTATAGAGCTTTCATTACTTTAGTATTTGTTTTAAAGACATCAGAAAACCACACAGCAATCGCCACAAGTCCCGCTAAGATACTTATGGTATTGCTAGAAGCCACTAAGTTCCACGAACTTTTCCAACTTAACTTAGGCATTTTGGTAAACCGACAGTTGATAATTCAACAACACTCTCCCCCTTTTAAAAGAGCAATACAAAAAACTCACAATTATTCAGTTTTTTCCTTCCAATCTATGTTGTGCGAACAGTGAAAGAAGTTAGAGCTACTAAATCGAGTCAAAAAGTACTCAACAACCACGTACAATAGGCAATAAGCCAATCCTTTTGTGTGAAGGCTAATAATATCAGCTGCCCACCCACACTTTGGTAGGTGGAGCGGGTTTCGAACCCGTGACCCATCGGTTGGAAATCCACTGCTCAAACCAGTGAACCACAGCCCCATGGTCCACTAGGACACACTTTCTAACATATTTCCAAGTAATCGAACCTAAAGCTTTGAGAAGACCTACATTAAATTTTAAGAGGAAACACCGGATCACTAAATGTTAACAATCTTACAAAGGCGGTAGTAATTTAACAGCCTCGACACATCTTCAGTCCATACAGATCAGACGTAAAAGGGATCCATATCACAAGATGCTGAACTTCAACAGATAGAATAACGAACCAATGGTAGCACATGTGGATGTCCGATGCTTTGCCCTTCGATACACGACTGAAAACCTCATCCTTGCATGTCAGTAAATATTAAGTACTAAGAAACATGCATCCAGACAACCAAAGTAGTTCACACTAACCGATGTGTTCAATTTTCCTTTTGCTAATCACTCCCAACTTGCACATCAGTACTACAAAATGCATGTTATGCTTAACGACTAACTGATTAGATGTAATTCCTGAAGCCTGTATGTCTTCGGAAAACAAGAAAATATTGTCCAAAAATACGCAAAACGAACTTGCTTCGTTCCACAGCAGACCTACACCACCACACACCTCAATAAGACTCATCTCTAAAATGTCATCAGTGAAAAAGTTAAACGACGGCAGTATGATCTAAAGAACCTACTGAGCCCCTGTGCTGATTCATAACAACAGTTATAAGTAATGGCATGCCGTGACTTATCCTGAAATTTTCGTCTGAGGTCTTCAATGTTTCAAAAAGCTTCTAACGAATACTTCCCACCCCCACCCTTCTAAAATACAATTCCAGAGTGCAGCCACAGGTAAGGTAACAAGAGAAGCTCAGCCATTTATGGCCTGCAGTACCCACGAAAGTGTTTCAGCATCTGCCACAAGATGAAGTGACGATCAATAAATCCATGATCTGAGCGATACCCAAACTGATCATTGAGAAAGCTTTACACAAGTTTGCAACGCGTAGCGCTAACCAATACTATGGATGCGACAGTTAACAGAATAATGTTCAGAAGCTCTTCACATATGTTACTACGTTCGTCTTAAGATGGATCCAATAATGATTTCTTTCCGCTGCGATAGAGAAACCTAAGTCTTCTATACCTTTCTAATTACCGTATTCAATCACAAAACCACAGTGGATTAAGTGACAAATGCCTTGTGACACTCTTACTTGGTGCTGTCACTGGAAATCAGTTTCAACGGATGATTCGGTGTTAACTGATCATTCAGTCAAGTACATAAAGACTAGGGTTGTTGCAGATATATGCCACCTCAACTGCCTTAGAGATGATCCACCAGTGTTCTAGGTGTTCTTGAATAATGTCGATCGGTATTCCACCTACCAGTAATAACACTTTTTTCCAGTGCCACTAGCAAATCTGAATAAGATTTCCCTTGGCTTGCGTAGATAAAGTCATTATTCGCCTAAACTTTCAGCAGAACCAGCGACTGTAATTTAACCGACTTCTGTTCGATATTTAACTGCAACACTGTGAGCGACAAATCTCTTAACGGTGACTTTTTCTTGACAACAAATTGATGAGAACTTTGGCTCAATACCAACTTGGCATACACGCTTTAATCGAATTCAAACCTAAGTTCCAGAACGAACAGCAGCATGCTGCTGTCACCGATCATTTCGTTCTATAATAAAGCAGCGACAACCATACTTACAAACATCGTGTTTAGATTCTAGACTTCATGGTGATTTGATGCCTAACTGAAACCTGAGAAGAAGAAAATTGAGAAAGTGAACTCAGTCTTCAACGTTTATGCGAAGGTGTATCGATCAAATCCCAACTCTTTGAAAACGTTGGAAGACAGGATTACTTACAAACGCTCAATGCCTAACATAGGTTCACCTGAATGCAGTACCTGACTGCAGTCAGCGAGATGTCTCACTGTGAAGCGATTACCAATGTAATGCTAATTGAAGCTCTCTACTTGGACTTATGCAGCCGGGCAAGGTCGTACAGGGAGTTGTCATCTGAAGTGATGACAATCGGTGGTCATCGCCAAGGATGCCCAGCCTAAGTGGAATCAAGATAGAAGTAAGCTAAGGATTATCAGACTAATTCGCAGCATAGTTAACCAAGTCCTTGGTTATCAGTCTGAGCCACATAGTGAAGCGTATGTCTAGTCCGAGTCCTCGAGAATCGTTTTGATACGGCTCAAAATCAATCGCAATCGCGCAGATGCACACAGTCTTTGTTGTTTTTAAAGTTTAAAAAGTTTTCAGTAACCCTAATCTGTTTACTCATTCACCTGTTATACAACTTTGTCCACTTCAATGTCATTCTTCCTCCCTCCAATGCATACTTCTTTGAAGTGAAGTAACTATAACTTGCAAACTCCCTTGCCAGATTTTATGACAATTTGTCTGTCTGGAGTGGGATTAGAGTCTTTAACCCAAAACCTGAAGGTCAATGAGGAACATCTCCACTGACACTAGACTTTTCGAGGCTGCTGACTTGCATGAGCTACGATAACTTCAAGCAATTAGCAGAATCAACTGCTGTTTTTGCGAAAATTCGCATTTTAACTACTAAGTTTAAAGGTTGATGCAAGTGCTGGTGCAATTTTTAACGCGTTACATATACGCGAATAGTTGTGTTCATATTCCCCCAACATACAGATGAGTCAGAAAATTTTACACATAGTAGCAACTACATTTTAATAAGCGGAAAATCCCATCGGCTTAAAGTGCCACACTTTACAAAAGCGTGGTGAGAACAAGTGGGTGGAGAAAAGGTAATATCAAAGTAGTCAAAAGTGTTTGGGGGAGGATGAATATCAAGATAACCAGTGGGAATGTTCATATACTCAACAATCTTCAAAAGGCTGTGTGACAGGCCTCAAGCAGATGTCCCTTGGGCTCTACCGTCACACCAATCTTCTTCTCTTCCAGGTATCCTGCTGAAGCAACTATCACGGTGTTGGTAGTCGGGAAGTGTCGATCTCCCGCACAATTCCAGTAGTATTCACAACCCAATCAATCATAATCTTCCCTCTTCAACTATCTCCTCCCTTTTCTGCACTTCCTGATGCTGATATTAAGCCTCTTACAACTTCCACAACCACTCAATCCGCAACCACTGCCAAAGATCAAAGCCATTAAGACCTCCTTTCTAGTCTATTGAGACCACGCCATTGATTTAAAATGGGGGTTTTAAACTTCCGGACCTTATGCTAAGTCGGACAGCAGGTATCGCTCGCCAGAACTTTTAAATCACAAGCTATGGATGTATGCTGTGTATCAAAGACACGTATATAGAACCAGAGTGTTGTTATTCACTTGATCTCATTCGACAACTATGGTGGATCCTCAAAATCCACTTTACGAATATCCATGGACCGAATGACTGGCTGTCGTGGACTCGCTAGTGTAGGCACAGCAATATGCTGTAGAGGAGAAATCGCACTTTTCGACTGGAAACCAGTCAACAGCAATCTGTGTGCGGTTCGACTGAATTGATCCGTAAGACTTAGAAAAATTCGTGAGACCAACCGACGCCTATTCGTAATCACTGACTATATGACGTGCTCATCGACTGCAGTTCGAATGATGCAAAAGATGAATTCTATGAGCCGTCATTTTTGCTGCAGAAAGCAAAACCTTCAGATATACTCAAAATGGTGGTTGACTTGTTTTTTATCAGCACTGACTTCAACTATAAGCAGAAAGATACCGACTCATATGGTGGCCGCCAACACTGAACCGACAATGGACACAAATGTATCACATTGCAATAAGCTATCATAGGAGAGGATCGATGGAGGATTTCCGCTCTTTTCAGACTCCGGTCACGCGCTAATACAGGCTCGTGTGTCTGCGCCTCACTAGTCGCGGAAAACAAGCAGCAATAAAGCCCGTCTGTGATTGATTGGAACATGAAAACATCAAGTACGGATTTAGGGAGGAGATAGCGAAGTATTTATCTGAACGTGACAGCAAAGCTGATCCAGAGGAAACCTAGCTTGATATATAGTCTGCTGTGGAAAAAGTGGTAAAAACAGCTGGTAAACTACATCCATAGGTTAGCAAGCGCAAACGGACTTCCACAACGTCATTTGAACCGACTGATGCGAGATTACTCATTCAAGCCGACTGTGATAACGAGGACCAAAAACAACTTAAATGAAAATTGACCAATAGTCTTCCCAATGATCACGAGCAGTGGTCGGTGGCGAAAGCGAGAGAGATGGAGAAAGGCATCAACACTAGGTAATCCCTGACAACTACTTAAGTTTATTAAGGATAGTGGAAAGATGACAATGGTGAGTGAAAACATAACCGAAAAGGATGGGATGCCGATACCTCCCACAACAGGCCGCTAGAACGCTGGGTAGAACATTTTGAAGCATAGTTCAGCTAGGCCTCAGCAACCCTTTAGTTGCCTAGCATTCAGCCAATTCGAACATGAATAGGACGTAGATGTCGTTCCTTCAACTGTCATAAAAGTTGAGAAGGCAGTTTTGAACCTGTAACGACGCAAAGTAGCTGGAGCTGATAGTTTGTCATTCGAAGTTCTCAAATAGGGAAGTAGGAAATTGCTGAGTAATGGAGGTACTCAGTAGTGTACAAGAATCAGAAGTGACCCCGTGAAAATGGTCTACTTCACTGATCAATACAAACTGTAAGGAGAAAGCAGTGCTGTAACAACCGTAGAGTCGGTTTGACTAGTATCGTATCTAAAATTATGAGGTTCATAATTATCCGACACCTAAATGGAGTTTGAAAACAGCAAACTCGAAGAAAGTAGGCAGGTTTCAGACCTGGAAGAGTATGCGTCAATCGGATCTTCGCCGTTCGTCAAGTTATAGAACACGAGCATACCTAATGGTGGCCGAAACCTGTCATCTCTATTGACCGGAAGGCGGCATTTAACTTTATCGACAGTGAGTTTTTTTAGTGTCTGACTGTAACAGGAATAATAGGCGAGCACATAACAGTAATCAAAGCTGTCTACTCGAACTTACACTGTTAGGGTTTATGAAGAGCTGTCATATGAACTGACGACAAATAGTGGTGGCCACCAGGGACGCCCACTCACTGATCTCGTATAATTTTGTAATTAGATAAGAAGTGATCATAGCCTTAGGTACATCTGACTTCACAGGAATTGATCTATTCCCTGGAGGGCAGGCATCTGGTTGACTTGGAGTATGCAGACGATATGTCCTGTTAAGTGAAGACGCTAAACGTGATGAAAAGAAATCCGGGCGTTTTGCGTGCTTTCCGCACCCGCAAGATGTAAATGATGCTCCAGGACTGGTCTGAAACTATTCCTAGTTTGAGGATACGAACTGAAGTGGTGAAATGAGTCAACTATTTCACTTATTCGGGGGTCGCATCAGCCTGAACAGGGTAGCTGCTGACGAAACCTAAGCTCGAAAACAGTAGGCGTTCGCCAACTTCCGTCATTTGTGACGCTGACTGGCAAGATATACGACAACCTATTAAAGGAAGGGTGTAAAGTGGTATAGCTCGTCCTGTTCTATATGGATGTAGCATGGCTCGCGTTTAATGGAATCTCTGTGACAGCAGTGTTGAGGTCTGGGGAAGGGCACTAGACAAGTTGATTGATGAAGTTGCGAACTTTAGTTGACTGAGATGACTTGGACATGTACTGTGCATGCCAAGCCACAGTCTGCTTTGATGTGCCATGCTAGGGAAAGTTGGATTATGTTGGAAGGTTCATAGTGGTCAGAACAAGATGTGGCACCAGTCCATGAAGTCCCTCTTTGTTGTTTTGAGCCCTGTGCGTGGATGTAGACTGCCTAACTAGGGTATCTGAGACAATGGAAATAAATGGTTGAGGACTTAGTGAATTGGTTGGCACATATGTATTCACTCCTTGATGTCTTCTTAAGCTTGAATACCCGCACTAACCCTTATTTTCAAGTTGTTTATTAGCTAATACAACCTTGTTTACTTAGATATCAGTCCTTTTCTACAGCGCTATAAAGTGCACTTGTATGCCAGGTCCTACGTTGATTCCGTTTTTGTTGTCTGTCAAACTTTAAAAGACGTCAAAGAGTGAATACACCTTCTCCATTGTGACCGATATTCCAGTTGTAGAGCGAACAGGAAATGGAACTTTCCTCTACAGTGGATTGCACCACTGCGCAGCTGAAAAGTAGCCATCGGAGTGTTGATAAGCTTCACCAGTCATTCCCAGAAAGGAAGATTTCTAGATTTGAAGTAAACAACTAATTAGGAAGGAAACATAGTTATGGACTGATCAGGTCTCGTCTAGTACTGCCATGTAATTACTATAGTTTACTCCATTTGATGATTTCTAGTGTAGAAAAACATCTGCTTTTTTACCGTTTACATTAAAACCCTGATGATGATGGGACTAGTCTCTAACCAAACAGACAACTTCATGGAAGGATTGTATTGAGACTTTACGCATATGAACGTACTTGGATATTGTTTTGCATAAAATGAAGAATCAACAGATCAAACAAGTGGGATGCTACGATATCCCTTTGTGATACACAAGAAATATGAACGTTGTCTCACAGTAAGGTTTCACTGATTTGAGGGACATAGGAAGTAGCTTTATTAAGGCAGCATTTTGGAAACAACATATAACGCCTTATGATGAGCAATGGACAAATAAAATTTGAAAAGACATGGCATAGTATATAGCGCAACTCAGAGACAAACTATACGAATGTACACTAATTAGCCACTAAAATCATATCCACTGATCATAGTACTGGACCACACCTAGTAGTATAAGCACACTGGACACTGATAAAAAGCAATTCAATACTTTACTCATTTATTTGATGTAGCGCACAGCAATGGTCATCTATTAAAAAGCAATGATAAGATATTTCTAAGAGCAATAAATTACACCAATACTTCATTCAGCAAGTAAGACTCCATTACTATGTTCTACAAGTTCAACGTCACACCTCAAAATTGTCACTAACTCAAAACGGACAGTGGTATGTTTCTCACCTCTATTATATTCAGTCCAAAAATGGAGCTAGAAACTTGCAAGATGCCTAAGGTTAGCATCTTTGTGGCAAATCCCCACCTAACTAGAGTGTTTGGTCATCCACTCTGCTATTTTTAGGATGCGGACTGAGGAACAACAGTCATATACAGGCATGAATGAATACTACGGCGGTCATTCGTAAGAGTTCAGGGGAGATTCCCATGTGCAACCTACTCGCTGGCAGTCATGTAACTCTAGTTTTCAGTCAAATTGAGATCAGCCATCATATCTTAGCCTAATAATCAGCAAATAGGGGTACAAACAATCCTTGATCTAGTAACATACCCTGCTCTTCTTCGTAACATTTGGGCCAGGTAAAAGGACGAGGTCCCATCAACGTTTCTGACACAAAATCCCGGTTTTCACTCTCCTGAGTGTCACGAAACTCGCCGTCATGGCAAATATACTCATCCTGCTGTTTATTTAGGCCAGGACATTTCTCTCCGGTTATCTAAAGTTATGCATAAAATATCGAATGAAAACGTAGCTTAACGTACAGAAACAGAGGAACCATACTCAATAATAGTATCTCCCCCATCTGGCAAATTGTTACAGCTATCAGAAAACACAGGTAAAGGAAGGTTCTCTACTACAAAATGAGTGGTAAGGATAAATTCAGAATACTGTTTCGTATTAACTCAATTTTTGAAACAGGAAATCCACATTGAGCAAGCGAGACGAGTTTGAGGGCTGTAAAGAAACTGACTCTTCCCCAAAATCCGCATGCAGAAGGATCTGATAATTCCACAATCTAAAAGTTCGAGTTAACACCAGCAAACCTACATCATCTATCAAAGTATGAGAAAGTCCAGAACGAGACAGAAATGTCTTCACACATTCAGTTGAGAGCTTCCCACTTTTTTCAACATCACAACTGTCAAAAGTGCTAAAGTAAAAATGAACCTCTGTTTCCGATAGCCTTAATGCTTCCATTCACAGTAGTAGCGCAATTAAGAACTCTCCCGCCATACACTCATACAATATCCAATATCTTTTTAACGAGCTTGTGTAACCAGTTGATTTCTTCACGCTCGCTTCTTGGTCTTGCGGACCGACTCCAGATCTTTGGCGGATTCCCATGCAGTAGGTCCAGCCACTCGTCTTCTATAGCTCTGATTTACAGAACAGGTAGTTAAGTGTTGGTTTGTTTGCCTTGGACTTTGGTGCAGTTGGCTTCTTCAGATGTCGAGTTGCCAGACAGCTGTTAGGACTGGTAGCTAGAGAGGGTTGGGGATAGTGAAGAGAAAAGCTAGAAAGTGTTTGTGTGAGCAAAAGAAAAGAGGAAAAGTGAACTAATGGAGTAACCTACTTACACCCAAGTAAGGGGGGGTAGGGGTGCAAAGGTATGAAGAACTTAGGTAAGTGAGGCTAACTTGTGACAAGTGGAAGGGGTGAAAAGGGCTTAAATGGTCACAGTAGAAAGAAAACTGGTTGGGGTGGCTTAGCATTACTTCGTGTTCCAGCTATGCCTGGGTAGACCGTGAGTCTCTGCATGACTGTCTAGCCTCTTCTTGAAGATTTCAACAGTTGGGGCGGAGATCACAATATCCTTCAATCCAGTACAAGAAACTTTCTGCTAACTATCGCGTCTAAGTTCTAAAGCTGAACCTTTTAGTTTTGGTTCTACTCCTTCGGTAGGCGTAGAAGTCGTTTTTGCTTTTCTGAATTCGGCTTTCAAAGAAGTGGTTGTTTGAGGAATTTTTTCCCTTTGTTGTTCGTAGGCTATGTATGTTAGGAAACTGCAGAGTTTCGGAGGAGTTAAATGGTTTTTCTGAAGCTCCTCTATTTGTGTGAACTCAAAGTTAGATAAGTTGGCATAAACAAAGCAACATGCGGCGAAGAAAGTTCAATGCATTATGGGAAAGGGAAGAAAATGAGATGTAAGCATGGTAAGAGTGCTTATTACTGGGAAGTCCATACTGAAGAGATCGTCAGGTGGTAATGTACAAGTAATGCGTGAGTCAGTGATGTCAGAAGCCACCTGTATAAGCTAATGGTAGGTTATGTGGCTTACGTACTTATCTAAGGATCTTAAGAATAACATCAGTGTGAGAGGGTTTGCTGTTTACCGTCGTAAGGCATTCCATGGTTAACACACTTTTAGTGCGAAGAACTTTGCTCTAACCCTGAGGTCAGCTCTTTCATGAGCCTCTATTTCAAGGCAACTCTCTTTTTTAGACTGGCAGAATTTATTACTTGAATAACTTATCTGATGAACAGTCGTATGCGCTGTTATCAGACCACCTCATTCCCTGCAGTAGTTTACAGTGAACAAGTTGCTGCAGACACAGTCTTAGGTCTTTACTGTATTTCGTGGGATCTTCGTTTCTCGGGGATCAGCCCTACCATAAAAAAGTGTGGTATTCTGACTGCTGACTGACAGTTTTGTCTTTTTTATTAATGGTGGTGGGAGATGAGCGCGTGTATCCTATATTAGCAGACTTCCATTCTTCAGCACATAATTGCGTCACGATTCCGGTCATCTGACCTTCACTGAGTTCTACCCTGACTTTGTAGGACGGCCTCGTCAGTCAAAACTTCTTTCGAGCTTTTGATCAAATGATCCATTGGAATGTTTATCTTCCACCCCTACTCCAAACTAAGAAGTGTTGAAATCTTCGGTGATTACAATGTTATTACACTTGCAGAGGCACCACTTAGAGGTTTATGTTACTACTAGCGATTACGTCATGTGCCATATGGTAAGATGGCACCTCCAGGATCCCCGTATATGGACTACATAGAATCCTGGTTCCCCAAGCGTTGAGGTCCCGGTTGATATAAATGGCTGCTTTAACTCTACCTTTCAAACAGCAGTCTTTTTGAACAGGGGTTGTGTTACCGAAGCATCTAGAACTCCTGGTGCCACCCAGGTTTCAGTGCTGAAAACTATTCCAGAGCCGGGATGAATTCACGGAGATCTTAGCTCATCTGTCTCGCTTATCACTTCCCTGATATTGCTACTGAAACCTCAGGAGATGAGGGCGTTCTTGACGTGAGAATTTTTCTGGGAGTTTCGCTATTTGGGCTACCGGTCCAGTAGGGGCTGGTGGGGTCTCATTTTGTAAACTCCCATTTGGGTGTGTAGATGAGGCCATTAAGTTGTTCTCCAATTGTAGCTATAGACCGCGGTGCTCTCAGTGGTTATCCCTCACCGGTATGCCTAGCTGACCTGAGTTTGCCTTCATAACGCCTGACCACGTCAGCCATTTCGTTCTTCTTGTCACACCAGGCTATGGAGCCTCGGTGAGTAGCACACGTGAGTTCATCTTGACGGCCAGCAACCGTGGAACGAAGATGCTTTGAAGATAGACTCTTCCTGGTAGTTACGTGACGCTGCAGGCTAATAGGCTGCCAAGTATGTCTTCTCTCCGCTGCGCACCTCCACTACTCTGTATCGTGAATGTAGCGGCCACAGTTTCTGTATTGCTTTGTCAGGTCTGGGATCTCGCGCGCAACCATAGTGGGGGACTTGTCCTGGTCGTGAGAGACATTATTCCTCTCTTTCTCTCCAGTGTACCATTTTCAACCGGCCTCAGCTTCATATGGCACCGAATAAATATGTGCGGAGGATGTGGGAGAAGGGCAGTATATTCGGCTAGTTTTAAGCTTCCTATAGAAAAGTAGTATTACGGTCTGCCTCAAGGAGTTAGGCTGCCACTTGATGACTAAATATCTCCGCGGGAATAGGTAGTATTTACACAATCTAAAAACATTCCTTCGTAATCGCCCTGCCACGTTCTCCTCTCTTGCCTTAAAGGGTCACAGGACACAGCGAAGCTGAACAAGATAAGTGGGTCTGTTCTTATGGCCCACTCTTATCCTTCAGCTGTTTTGTTCAACTCTGTTTTAACTTAATTTTCCCCCTTGTTCTTTTCTCCGCGAACGCAAGTCCACTCTCCTGAACTTCTTAACTGCAAATAGCTTCAAGCCTCACCGCAGCCTCCACTTGCGGGAGTGGTGTACAGCAATTGATGCCTAGGGTACTAAATCGGTGTTTACCGGAATTGTGCTTATTATAATCACACTGAATATGGAAAGCTGTGACCCCAAAGAAATGTGGTAACTGTTTTAAACTTCGCATTTGCCTTCGTTTGTTCTTCTTAAACCTCAGATGGCTTGTGTCACAGCCTGGTTAGGCACCACGTCTCTCAGTTTCCTGTTGAGTGAGCAGGGTGTTTTTCGGTAACCTGGGTATATATACCAAAACCACTTGTACTTATAAGTGCTGGTATGTCTCTGTTGTTGGATTCGTGGGAAATTTGGTGAAAAAAGTGTTAACGAACCTTTTAATGTCGTTCAACATATTCTTCTAATGTTATTCTGGGCTGTAAGCTTTCCTTAGATGATTTCTGAGGATCAAAAGTCCCTCGAAAACCCGTGGATACCCTACCTCCACTAGCATGAAACTAGTTAACAACGGTTAGCCGTCATCTTAGGGTTTCACAGAGGACTGCCGTGAACAAATACATCTAGATCCCCCACTTACAAGTTTACTGAATTACTGCTAGGGGATAGAGTTACAATTAGCCGGCATTTGGGAGTGGAGACATCCCCGCCCCCTGAAGAACAGAACTTTACAGTTTGTAGATTCTTACTGCAAAACAGCTGGCAAGAAACTTCATTGGAAAACTTTCATGTCCAACCGTCGGAGAATAACTTCCGAGACAAAACTTCTGTTCGGGTTCGCTGCGAGTAGGACAGCCAAAGCTATTTCCCCTATAGTTCGATGACACAACGAGCAGGCCGTTGATTGTTTCGAAGATAGGACTAACATGTGTGATCAAGCGAAGATGTCCACTTCTTCCGTCACCTGTCGAAGCTTCCAAAACAGTGGTAACCTTCAATATTCAGCCATCGGAACAGGTCTAAACCAGTCACCACTTGTTTGTTGGAAGAACTGTCTCAGGGAACTCGGTAACCCTCCTCCAGTCCATGAGTGCATGGAAAAGAGCTTACTGTTCAAGCCCAGTTGATGTAGTAGAATTACAATAACTACCACATGTTGAATAAAATGAATGGAAATTTCAGTAAACAACGATGGATTATTTTATACAAACATCAGCATAAATTGGTCTTCAGATGATCTTGCTCACCGTACTGTCTCAGATACTGCCTGTTTATTCTTGGCTGTAGTCACGTGCGCAATGCGTGAAGAGTCGAAATTTTCCAAGATACCCTATATAAGAACCTCTGGGATACAGATACGAAGGAAATCATCCTAGTGAATATAAAAGCCACAATCTGTATACACGAAAATGAAAATATTTGAAACCTCACGTGCCTACCGCGAAATCATAAACTAAAAAGAAAGTTCCTCTTCAAGATGGGTGGTGCCTGCATTTCTTAAACTTATGGGTAAGTAGAACTTAACATCCTTCCGAAATCCCCCGAGTAACTCCCTGAACAGTCTGATGTCACAGCTTCAAATAGGCACTCTGAAATCGAAGGGTCGCTGTTGTTTATGCCATTCAAAAAGTCGTACGTATTTAGCTAACTGTATGCACGGTGCTGTCATTGTGTTGTCTAACCAACGTCACCTGGGGCTCAACTCAATGTCCAGTATTTTAGATTAGCATTTACTCAATTACCGCCTTGGCAAATGAATCTTAACACTTTGTTTATCCAAGGACCGAGTCTTTTGGAGACTAGATATGTGCCCTTATCGGTGCTCACGAACTGAGCGGGTATGGTTTGGTTTTCAATCACAGGGGTGTTGCAGGAGATGGTAAGAAGCACTGCTGCCGTTGCTTCTCCAGGAACTTTCCTGGCTCTTTTTTACCATCCAATAACTTTATGGATCACCCAGTTGCGCAGGCGTCTCCTTTAGCTTCTTGAGACGATTTATGACAGAACTATCTTCCTCCAACCTGAAAGCGACTTTATAACAAACTAACACCTTCATTCTTCCCCATCTTCCCCAGGACAACTTG